AACCATTACACTTTTGTAAAAAGTTTAAAGTCCACTAAAGCAGTGGTTCCGAACCCTGGTCCTTGAGGAACACCATCCTGCATGCTTTACTTGTTTCCCTGCTTTGACGCACCTGATTTGAATGAATGGGTGATTAACAGGCTGCTGCAGAACTTGAAGTCATTAAATCACAGAATCAGAAGTGCTGGAGCAGGAAACTACTAAAACATGCAGAATGGTGTTCCTCAGAGATCAGGGTTGGGAACAAATCTTTCCTTCATGCTACATTAGTCACTGGAAATTTGAAGAGGTGAGAGAAATTTGAGTCAGATGTTCTGTAGTTTTTCTTCAGATAAGTAATGTGTAATCAGTTTTTGTGACAACTTTTTTGTTTCCCCCTCATTAATAGAACAAATTAACGGTAAAGAGTGGATTCAAGATCACGCTGTTCAGATACAAAAATGTATTTAAAGTGAACTCATAAAACACTTCTTTATATTTATAAAAGATTACAACAATTTGGCACACAAAAAAAAAACCAGATACACTCAACTCATCTTTATTTTCCTGATCTGATTACTGTTCAGACGGTTTCACAAAAATAATGAAAATAAACATTATATTACATGTTTATTCTTTGGATTGCAGCATACAAATCACATAAAATAATTAAATTAATCAAAACCCAGTTGTGCTCAGATTTTTCTTTTCACAAGATGCTCATACACACACACACCAGCAGCAGCAGTGACTGACGGTTAGTGAGATATAATACTGCTGACCAGGAAACACATGTGTTAATGTTTATCCACAGCTACATGTGAAAATGTTAGAGCCTATTTTAGGAGTAATGGCAGGATTTAACTCCCTGACTTAAGCACCAAACAGTTTATTTAAGCAGCTCCTTTAAACATGGCTGCTGGTACCTGTATGAGGATAAGATACCAACTGCTGGGGAAAAGGTAACTGCGTCTGAACCGAGCAAGCTGTTGAAATAATCAGACACCGCAGCAGCCGATGGTCTCGTATTGCTTTTTTTGTGGTTTATTTTGGGGGGTGTGAGAACAGAGAAAGCTCTCCTACGTGAAGGAGGCAGAACATTACAGATGATCGAAGCAGGGTCGAGGTAGATAGAAGGAGAAAACACTCCCAGGGCAGGAAGTTCAGTCAGACACGGATCTAAAAACAGAAGTTTTAGGAAATCCCAGCCTCGTTCAAGCTTCTAGGTAGAAACGGGCGATAAACTGAATGGGTTTTCAAAGATTTTTCTTGTTTTTAAGAAATCCCTGCATGGAAGTCAAGCCCCTTCTAATTAAGGTTTTGAGTAGCCACTAGGGGGCGATGTTTGGGCAGTGATACACCTGACAGCTCCTGAGGCCAAACCATGCTCCTCTTTATTAAACAGTCAACTGAAGTGGGCTTCTGGGAGCATTTTTCTGTAAACAACCTTCTTGAAGGGTTTACAGTGATGAACAACACGTTTCGTCAGAGTTTAAATCATTCTGGCTGCAAACAGTCTGGGTCCAGGATAAAAATAAAAACATTAAGGCAGGGGTTTCTGCAGACTACTCAGGACTGAGCTGCAGGAAACACAGCAGACAGAAAACAAGTATTTAAAACCTCACAAAAATAAAAGGGATACAGAGTAAAAGAATGAAGGCTGATACACACACACAGTATAGCTGGATCCAATCCAAAACAAAAACGGAACTAAAGTATCTGATGAGTGACACAGATCCATAAATAAATAATGCTGGACTTTCATCAGCTGTAAAAAAAAAAAAAGTTCTGTTAAAATGACTTTTGTTGCTCTGTGTGGAAGGCAGCTTATCAGAGCCAAGACTTCATGCAGATATTCACTCTGCAAACCGTGGAGACGTATACAGGATGGGGGTTGATGGAACTACACACATTTGGGTCATTGTTCTTGAGCTAAGCTCTGCTTTCCTCTAAAATAACCTCTCCCAACATAACCAGCTTGTGCCATTACTGTAAAAGTTAAACCCAAAGCACACAAGAGATGGTGGTTCAAGAACAATAAATATCAGGAAAAAAAAAAAACTCCCAGAAAGTTTCATGTTTCAAGTGTTGCACACACACACCAACACTACGGTCCTTTCTGTGCAAATGAGTTGATATGAAAACTGTGTGTGGAGATACGTGGTTTCTGAGGCAAGACATAAAGAAACTAGAAGTCTGAAGTGATCCCCCCCGCTACAGTTTCTGAGCAAAGACTAGGGAGAGAAAGTCCAGCAGCCACAGAGGAAGCAGGTGGAGCAGCTGCTGCTGATCGTTGCCCTGCTGATCTAGTGCAGGGGTGTCCAAACATTTCACAGGTGGGCCAGAACTGTTGATGAAAGGACTCACGGGCCAGAAAAATCTGAATTTAAGAAAATAGTTTTTAAAGGATATGGATGAACCAAATGGGTCATCGAAGTTCTGAAAAACAGCTGTCAGTCACTAAAACAGATTGATGGAAGGTTTGAAGGGACAATGATAAAGTTGATCAACTTGTATGTCGATGATACTTTATATTTCTTTTAAAATGTCCAATTTCTCCCTATTGATTATTAACTGAAATTATTTTCTTTGAAAACACTTGCTATATTTAACCAAGTTTCATAAAATTTTAGCCAAAACTCTACTTTTCGGCAGGTCAGTGAAGGTTTGTTGTAGGATAAAGAGATTAATTATAGCTAAATATTTATATTGTACTTAATGTCACTCATTTTGAGAAGATTACTTTAATCTGTTTTGTTGTTAAACCTAAAAATTAAAAAAGTATCACCATTAAATCTAAAGAAGGCACATCTGCATCAGCCTCTTTAGCCTGTGGTCTAAATTATATCATTCATCATATTATATCATTGCAGTCGTGGGCCACACAAAAATCACTCCCAAGGGCCGCAAATGGCCCTCGGGCCACACTTTGGACACCCCTGATCTAGTATCATGCACACACACACCTTAGATTTTTTTTTCCAAACTTCTAAACACTTCCTACCCAACCAGTAACCCACCAGACAGCAACCAGATGGTTTGGGGTCTCATCTGGACTTGATCCCACCTTCCACACTGAAACCATTTCTCACTCTTCCACCCAGAAGTGACGTCAAATCCAGGAACTCCACTAAGCGTGTTCGTTTTCAACACACACGACAAAAGTGCCTCGATATTAGTTTCAAAACATTGGCCACTGAACAAACGGCTCCCCCCTTTAACCATGTCTGGAGGTCCCAACTCGGATAAACCAACCTTTACATTTACAATAGCAGCAATTTTCAGGAGATCATTTGTGCAATTTTCATTCAAACAAAACAACCGTGTCAATTTCCATGCAATAAAGGCATGTGTTAAAAACATTTCAACATAAATACATTTACACCCCTTGGATCAAGACGACACGCAACAAAAGGAATAAAGTCTAATCTGGTTTCCTTACAGTTTGGACATACTGACCGTGTTTACTTGCACGCAGCACTCCAGATAATTTAATAAAGAGCATCTTTACATCAGTAACACAACAATTAAGGGACAAACGTAGTTACAGAAAGCACAAGCTGCCTCGGTAAACATAATCTGATCTGTCCTCATCAGCTGGGCTGGATGCGCACGAACAACTAATCTAGAGCAAAGATTAAATATTTATGTAAAACCGTCAGCCCAAAGTTTTAACTCACTTGGTGAGACGAGGTTCGTGCCCTCAGCGGGGCTCGGGGCTGCCGCTCACGTTTAGTGAAACAAACTCCACATCCGGTTTCAGTAAGGCAGCTCTTGTTCCAAACACTGCAATACTTCACCAAGCGCCTCCTCCTGAGCTGCAGAAGCTTCGAAAGAAACCGAGCAGGCACAGTTAGAGGAAAATCTGGTGACAGAGAAGTACACTAAATGGATACCATCTAGATACAGTCCTTCAAAAGCTCCAGTAAACAGCTGTGGTGTGAGGAACATGTCTACAAGTAGGAAACGTTAGTCCCTCAGGAATGTTCGATTCAAATAAAAGCCCATTTTAAAACACATCCTGTTTTCACCCGGTGAGTCAGGAATGGATAATCCTACAGACATGCCTTTACTCTCCCATGATGCACTCTGTTTCTCCCAATTGGGTCTAATTTCAAAAACAAATGTTTAACAAAGTTTTACTTTAAAAACATCATATTATGCATAGACGAAAATAAATTTTCCTCACTTAGCTCATCTTCAACACGTACTCTTTGCCTTTTCCCGATCAGCACGCCTCCCCTCCGTCTTTTACAAAAGGAGCAGCAGGGAGTTCGATGAGTGCAGACGGAGTCATTCCATTCCATCAGCTCGCTCCCCGTCTCGCTGCATCATAACCACGTTCACATTCTGCTCACATACACAAACCTTTACTCAAACAGCTCCAGTGCATAAAAAAACTACTTTAAAAGCCTCGGACTAGGCAGCTCACTCCCAGTGACTTTTCCCAACCAGGACGTGATTCTTCCAGTACTGCTCTTGACATCAGCACGACCACGACGATTTGAAATTTACTTGTGCACACAAAGCAAAACTGTACAACATTTACAAACACACACACACCTCAGGTTTTCATTTCCCCCTCTGCAGTCCCTGAGATCACCTCACACTTTAACACGGCAAAGAAGAATCCAACACGGACCAGAGCATGGCAAAGGCACGTTCTGGGAGAATTTGTCTTCAGAAGGAAAAAGAAAGTCCAGGAAGTAGAGACGACTCCTTAACGAAGAGTCTGCAAACTGAACCTGCAGAGTTCAGGCTGGCAGTCGCAGTGATGAACTCTGGGACATGGAGTCTCTGAGCTTCCAGGGAGAGATATGCAGGAATGCAAACACTTCTCGCAGGAATTTATTTTAAAATCCCCCCATTTTCATTTTCCTATGTAGAGAAGACGTAAAATATTTAGCACAGTGAATCACAAGGGAGGAAAATAAAAAGTTATAAGAAACGCTACAAATATGTTAGTTTTTTTTGTGTCGGTCTACATCTGAATGTCCTTATAGTGTTTTAAAATATGTTCTTCCATCTTATGTGTCTACAAGAAAAATAGAATTTCAGTTGCAGACTTTAAAAAAACATTTGCATTTCTGCATATCAGCTCAGAGAATCATTTGACTCAGCCCAGGTCCAAACACTTACACAAACCTCCCACCGGTCACGCTGAAATACCTTCAGCCAACAGTTTTCTGCACGTTATTGAAGCGTCTCTTCACCGTTGGTTCTCTCAGCTGTTCTCGGTGAATACAGTTGGTGTGGTTTTCCTCTGCAGGCCACAGTGTGTCAGTGCAGAGTGCGAGCCTGTAGCACAGCTGTGAGGAGAGGGAGAGGACGACGACTGTGGGGAGGTTTTTCTCTCCCATCCAGTTTCAAGTTTTCCCGTCTCAGCTACTCCATGACTTTCGGTTCTCCCCCCGCCGCCCAACGGCGAGTTCTCCTCGCAGGACAGGAGCATGAACAGAGGGAGGCAAGTCTCCCGTTCGCCGATTGGTCCGATCGCGCCGACACAGCCGATCTGGGCGGACCAGCACCCCATAACCTGGTTTGCAGCTGAAGTATCGGTGCGCTCCAACCGAGCCGTCGTTCTTACCTGCAGGCAGAACACACGACAGGCTCAGTTATTGTTCTTAAGCTCAAGTCTGTGTCATCTGTAATGACGACGCCTCACAAAGTGTCTCACGTTGGGTTTATTTAAGTGAACTTGCCCTTTCAGCTGGAGACTTACCTACAGGAGTATCTAGCTCCACCCCCACCCAAACTCCATCAGCAAACTGTGTCGTTCCCACGTAGCGCACCGTTCCCATTTTATTGCTTCCTACTGTGACCCACGCCCCTTCTGCCAGCCAGTCGGGCAGCACATTGTCGTGGTTGCGCTCGTCCTCGTCAACAAGAATCTCCAGCCGCTCAAAGCCTTCGCCTCCTCCAGAGTTAAGCAGCTTCTGGTCAGAGAATGGCAGCTCTGCTGAGACGCTGCCATTGGCTGAGCTGTGGGACATTGACTTGGCGCCACACTGAGGAGAGGTCACAACATCGTTCCTGTCAGCGCCCTGCTGCTGAGGGTTTGTGGGTAATGCAGTCTCTGCACCCAGGAGGGAGGAAGACGATGAGGAGGGTTGGAGAACGTCAGACAGGGTAACCGTAGAAACACTAGTAGAGAAATAGCCGCTGGACGACTGGCTGAGGGGGCTGAGGGGGGTGGTGTCATGCGGGTCATGCACAGGAAGAGGAGGGACGTCTGGAAACTCTGTCCGTCTGTCTTTGGCCGGGGGCCGTAGAACAGCAGCCTGCAGGAAACCCAACGGTTGCCGCAGGAACAGAGGGACAGACGACGGCATGCAGAAACAACAAAGAAAACGTACATATAATAAGAAATAAAAATATTATGTGTAAACATTACAGGCTCAGTAAGAGCCAACATGAAAATATCAGAACATTACACGGTAAAACCATTTTCTGTAGTTGAATATACTGGTTCAAAACACAATTTTTAAAATTTGCGCTAAAAAGTTAAATAAAAAGTTTCAATGAGTAATTTGGATTTGAAAAGACATCCACATTATCGACAGAAGTCTAAGCTAAAACTGATGTCAATTTGGTCTGAAAGTAAAAGTCCAGACGTCAGATAAACTAGATTTATACATTAAATAAACATTCACATTTATTGGAGAATAGCAAGAAGAAATACTTCCCAAGTGGGATCATAGATCTGTGTATTATAGATGCTACTAAGACACCAGTGAGCTAACCACCCTCATGATCTACAACCTGACAGATGGCTGTGTAAGTTCTACTTTTTTTTTTTTGTGTTGTTTGCATTTTTAATTTGACAAATGTAGCTCCATGTGTACTTGTGTCTTGAAGGCTCAGTGAGCAGCACCTCTCCTGAGAGGACTGAAGCTCAGTGAACGACTGTCCTCGATCATGGAGTTGACAAACAACAACAACAGTTCCTGCCATACGAATCACAGTTTCAGCGCTTGTGAAGTTTGTACAGGTGTGATTAAAACCAATGGAGATAGTTGACTATTAAAAAAAGTTGAATAATGAATATTGAAGTTTTTTGAAAAGGTTCCTGTGGTCAACAGACCAGAAAAATTTTCTAACAAATAAAACAAATCTCTTAATCTAAAAAAAA